TTATAGGCATGTAAGATAGGATAAAATCGTATATTTTTCTCTTTCTTTCCTTTATACAATGATAATCTCTGTTTACATTTGCATAAAGACCGAAGCTACTAATTAGTGCAGTGAAAGAGATTCTTTGAACTTGTTATATATATAAATGAAGGACTTCATATATGCTGATTGAATACCTGAATCAAAGATCCCAACAACTATGTTGTGGCCGTAGGTGAACTGCACGGGAATAACTCGAGTTTCATCCAGAGTAAGGCCAAGAAAATCCTAGCTTCTTGTTGTGTGCAACTTTAGTGTCTTGCTCCGGAAGACTGATACTACTTTGTCCATCCCTGCATGCAATATTTTCTTCTATTCATCAAAACATTTCTTACTTGGAAATTTACTTCAGGAACTAGCAAGCTTTACATATATATATATATTAGAAAAGGTAGCTACTTACTAGCTAAGGTGGTTGCTTGAGATGAACTGAGGTTTGCTGAAAAACCCGAGAAACTATTGCTGTAGCTATAGAGGATTGACTGCTTGGCATCTTCTTCACTGAAAGAAACTTAGGTAGAAAATTTTAGTCAAAAGACATGTTTACTATATAAGATATGGTAAAAAAAACCTGGAAAACACATCAGAGAGAACTTGAATATGAAACTTGGAAGTGAGGATGGGGTCATGAAATTGGTTGATCCCTAAATAAACTATGTAAACCTGCATGGTTAAAATAATATGACCCAGTTTTCAAAAAAACAACATGAGGTTAATCAGACTTCGAGATCATAGGTTAACTGGAAAACAAGAAAAGGAAGAAGGACTTTATTGGGTAGAATTACATGACATGTGGACGTTGTGTGAACGAAAGAAAGTGAAATTGCAAGGGATACGCCCCAGAAGGATTAAAGATGATAAGTAGCCATTGTCTCCCATTGAAGAATCATATTGTTGGTTCAGGGGGTTAAATAGTGTAGTATAGGCTGTCATAATTTTGAAAAATCGGTAGTCGACCAAAGGATCAATGGCTATAGAGCGTGTCTTCAAAGGCTTTCAAGGCTGCAACAACACTGACATGCCTCTTTGAATCCATGATTATATTTCCCCTTCAAAGTTAGTTGACAAAGATGAAAATAACAGCCCCTACACTCTCCTCTCACCACTCTTGATTTTCCAACTTGTCTAGTGTTGTACCTATATACATCGATGATCTTAGGTTAAAATTAAAAGTAAAGACTACCTACATAAAGCTCCATCATATACCATGAGTACCATAGAGGGCGATAGGGCAATACATGTGCCCTTTCATCATTCTGAAGGCGTGTGTTTCATTCATGAATTAGCTCAGAAAAACTTTCTGCTTTCCTGCTAATGCTACCAGTACCATGAAACCATGCCTAAACCATGTTGCTATTGCATCATTTAAATCAATGTATGAGACTACCATAAAAGTTTTGGTCTATCTTTTCTGCATCACCTCACCCACTTTTTTTCTTACCATGAATAATGGCTTAACCTGGTGATGCTCGGAAATGAGAGTTTCCAGAGGTTATATAGCCTGCTTTAGTAAGGTTAACGAACACGTCTGCAAGAAAGGTTATATTTAGGCATGCATCAGATGCTTCTCTTTGAGTAGAATAAGTAAGGTTCCTTTTTCAATTCATTCTTTTCTTCTAATCCAAATAAACTATAGCTCATCTATAATACATTGTATGTGCTTCAATTATATTACCCTTATGCATGAAGAGGGTAAAGCTTCAAAGATGGAATCAACCTAACCTAGAAATAGGAGAATTTCATCTAGCTGGTAAATCGGAAACAAAAGAAAAAAATATTAAGCACTCATTGAATTATTGCTTTGATAGATGGTTTGCTAGCATATTGCGTAAATTGTGTTCCAGTTGTACTGTGTAATTACAAGTTCATATGATCAAAAGCCTAAGCTTACGAAGCAAGTCTAATCTTCCGGCATATACTTGCATCATTTGGCCTTCCTCTTCATGAACACTTAGAGCTTCCTTTTTACCGCTATACATTTTTCTTTTTCTCATGGCAATCCATAATTGCATCTTAATCCAACATCATAATTTGATTCAAGTAAAGTAGCCATTGTTTTCAGTGGCAACACAGATAGGTTTATGATTCCTTGGGGAATTCAATAGTAGCATAGCTTGTGTAGATAAAATTTTCACCTTTCTATCTTCTTTTTAGCTTGTGTAGGAAATAAAAGGTGTTAGCAAGTAATTCAAATCCTTTAGCCTGATAGATGACTTTAATTTCAATTTTGGTTAAAATGCATACAAGGATTCAATAGTGTTGGCTATCGAACGAAAGCCGGAATAGTTACTATTTTCACCATCTTGTCCTACGTTCTCATGTACATGGAGTTCAACCTCTAAGCTAAATACAATCCCTCAAACAAAAAATACATGTTTCTTTTTTACTAATCGTACATTTCTTGGCTGGATAGATATGAACCCTAGCTTTTTGCATGAATATGGTACTTAGTGAAAAACTGGTTATGGTAGAATTGGTCATCCTGGTTGAAATGTGTACTGGGATTTTGATGGAGTTGGTCAATAGATCCAGCAACATCTAATGGTTCTGCTTGTCAGGATTTCACAAGCAAAGGAAAGTCGAAACGAGGGCATATCTATTTGAAATATTGTCTCTTCGACGATTATCGAAGAAGTTGGTCTACTAGAAAGAAAGAAAAAAAGCAGCATCGTTTTATGCTAAAAGAAGTCTAAATAAGTTTACAACAAGAGTTCACTTTCTTGCTTATAAGTCCACATTTCTAGCTACGTCTTTTACACTTATACATTTATCTGGTTTATGCATAGGTCACAAATGGCAAACCTGGTGATGCTCGGAAATGAAATGGTTCGACATTTCGAGAATAACCCGTTCTGCCCTGTTGCCATATTGTTGACTGCCAAATGACTAATGATACAATCTCTGGAAAGTTCTCATTAAGAAACTAGTTAGGCAAAGATGATGCCAATCTCTATCACTTCAATCAGTTGTATATGTTTTCACATTGTTCTGTATGATTATATGGTTATTGATACCTTCTAATCAACAAATGCTTATTGTTTTGTATATTGTTTATTATTCTCCACGACCACGAGACGGACGGCGGCGGCGCGCGAGAGTCTCCCTTGTTCTCTATCACTCAACAAGGAAGTGGGAAAACCAAGCCTTAAATACCGTTCCCAATAGTATTTCCAATACTATGTGGGATTGAGCATTACCAACACTTGTTTCCAATACAATGTGATTATTCAGGAAACAATTAACAATCAATCTATTTAAGCAAAACATTAAATAATAATATCACTATTTAAGGCTCAATCCCACATAGTATTGGGAACAAATGTTGGTAATGCTCAATTCCACATAGTATTGGAAACACTATTGGGAATGGTATTTAAGGCTTGGCTTTCCCACTTCCTTGTTGAGTGATAGAGAACAAGGGGGACTCTCGCGCGCCGCCGCCGTCCCGTAAAGTCTCGTGGTCGTGGTAATACGTGTATTTGCTAATACTATCTTTTTAGAGAAAATTCTTAAGAAACAAATGCAATACCGTCGTTGCGATTTTGGACTATCGCAACGAATTTGGAATAAATCGCAACGCGAACTTCGACTATCGCAACAAACTTGGACTATCGCAACGAATTTGGAATAAATCGCAACGAATTTGGAATAAATCACAACGCGAACTTCGACTATCGCAACGAACTTTGAATAAATCGCAACGCGAACTTGGACTATCGCAACGAATTTGGAATAAATCGCAACGCGAACTTCGACTATCGCAACGATCTTGAAATAAATCGCAACGCGAACTTTGACTATCGCAATGCGAATATGTAAATCGCAATGCGATAGTCGAAGTTCGCGTTGCGAATCTGGAAACTGATTTGCGATACCGGAGATCGCGTTGCGAATTATCAATCGCATTGAGATTTAGTTGGTCATTTTAGCAAATCCAAAAAAAATTGGTTAAAATCATATATTATAAGGCATTTTTGGTCACTGATGTTATTTTCTCTTTAGAAATTATCAAAATTCAAACCTACTAAGTGGTCTCGATGGTTGACGGAGTGTTTTTTCTTAAAAATTTTAAGTTCAAACAGTAACGTCTGCAAAGTATATGTTTGTTATTCATGATTATAAAAAATCAATAATTAAAAAAATTCTAAATATGCTCTATTTTGTAATCCTCAAATTAATAAAAAAATACTAAAATTTCAAACAACAGGACCCTTAGCTTGAGGTAAGCGTGTTGCATTAGCAAGTAATTTACAGTAAAATAGGGAATTGTTGGTAAGGTGGTTGCGGATGGAGTAGAGTCGGCTGATGTATGGTAGTGTAATTTAAAGTGCAGTAGTTGTTTTGCGGTTGGCCTCTCATTTTATAAATTTGTCAGTCTACTATATTCAAAATGCCCTTTTAATTTTAAGGGTAAACTACTCTAATGGTCACTAATGTTTGTGTAAGTTTTTGTTTTCACAACTAATGTTTCAAAAGTAAAAAATGGGTCACTAACGTTATGGTTTGTTACACCACTTTGTTTTAATTTATTTTTAATTAACGGCGAGTGACCAATTTGTAACAAACGATAATGTTAGTGATCGATTTGTGACTTTTGAAATATTAGTGGTGAAAATGAAAACTTACACAAATATTATTGACCATTGGAATAGTTTACCCTAATTTTAAAAATAATTTACAATTTTTTTTAACTAAACATGCTTTCTCTATCCAAAAAGGGGGAAAAAACTAAACATGTTTCATATTTTAAAAAAAATGAATTGTGACGAGTTGATGTATTATTTATTTTTCTTGAAAATTACAATCTTTCTTTTATTTTTTATTTGATTTAATCGATATGATAATAAAAAAAGGAAAAAATAATTTTTTAATCCATATATTTGTAGTTTTTGTCAATTTGACTTTTAATCTTTACAAATAATATTTTTTATCGGATAAATTGATAAAATCTCACGTTTTGGCCTAGCCAAAGATGGACCAGAGGAAGACAAATCTCACGTTTCCACTCGCATAATGGCCACATATGGCTATGCAGCTCCCGAGTTCATCGCGACCGGTATCTTCTAACTGCTTTTCCATTAATATCGGGTTTTATTAAGAGTCAGACGCAAAATTTTACGTTAAAGATACAGGGTTTATAAAATTTTAAGAACGAAAATAGATCATCGATAAAAAGTATAAAGAATACTATCTAATTTATATGAGAATTTTGAATTTTTAGAGAGAGAGAACTTCCCTCCACTCCCGTCCATCGCTGCTCTTATATCTTGATTGAATAATTAGTATAGTGGTGAAGGGCTTGTTTATGTTTCGTTTTCTTTTTGCAGGGCATTTGAGTCCTCGTAGCAATGTGTACAGCTTCGGAGTCGTCCTTCTCGAGCTTCTCACCGGAAGGAAATCGCTCGACAAATCATGGCCGGCTCGCGAACAAAACCTCACGGATTGGGCTCTTCCTCTACTCAAAAAGAAGAAGAAGTTGGACAACATAGTAGACCCCAGGTTACAAGGAGATTTCCCCATCAAAGCCTTCCACAAAGCAGCCATGCTATCTTATCACTGCCTCAACCACGACCCGAAAGCGAGACCTCTCATGCGAGACATTGTCGATTCCTTGGACCGTCTTCAGCTTTCTCCTCACCCGCTTCCGACTGAAAAAAACCGCAATCACCGTCTCCACCGAGGTACCGGATCAGTTGAATGTTAAGACTTTTACAGAATTTGGTGCTCCTCTATAATATAACAACCTTCTTGTTCCAACATACACATACATAAAATGTATATGTATATATGTATGCATATGGAGGCAGGTGGTGGTCATTCATTTGTTGCTGACATGGACGAATGTAGTGAGCATATTGTTTGTGGGAAGCCATCTAATGGATACAATAAACTATAATTCTTTTTCTTGTTTCTAAATTTCTAATTTATTAACTGAATCAACGGTTGAGGAACGTTTAACTTCAGCACAAACCCAATACACAAACCCTATACAATTTGAGGAGATGAAAACATTTTTTTTCTTATATTAACTTTTAATTTATATTTTTAAAGGAATTTATGAATATTTTTTTTCACATGTAGTAAAAAGTTAGGAGGGTAGGAGGAGAATATGCTTTAATTTATAGCTTACCTCTCATCAACATTGTTTATAAATTATAATGTTATCATAATGATCATCCATAAATAAAAATATTCATTGTACTTATATTAGCCTATATATTTATATTTCTTTTTACAAACTTGATGATTCTAATGCATATATTACAATAAATGTTAGTTTTATGTTTTGACCACCTTAAGCTGTAATTCCCTTATTAGCAATAAGGGATAATAGAAAGAAAAAAAAATTCAAAGAAAAATAATAAAAAATTAAAATAGGGCGTAAAAAGAAGAGAGAAACGGGTGGGTGTTTCTGGTGGGAAGAAAACATAAAAGCGCCGTATTAAGTAAGAGTATTGGACTTGAAAGTTTTGGACAGCGAAAGAGCCAGAGATCTTGTGCTTTAAACATCACGAATGATTTTGCAGAAGCCATTGTTAAGTTTTATATTCGTTGGCATATCTTGAGGAAGAGGGAAATGGAGAAAGATTTCTTGTTGCAATGGGGGAACAGAAAGAGGCCGAGTTGTTTCAACAAACTCAAAAATCAGCATCACCGCCACTTTGTCAACACCAGCAGCGGCGTCGGTGGCGGAGGCGGCAGCAGCTCCACGACGCCACCACAGTCCTTACCTTTGCCCAACAACAAGAAAATGGGTTCCTCGCCTGTTGCCAATCGTCACAAAATGTAAGATAAAAACGATTTCTTCACTTTTTTTTTGGTTTATTGACTGCCCAGAACTAGTAAATGAGTTTTGAGTGTAATGATAGATCTGGGATTTGGGGACGCATAAGCCAAGATCGGCATTGACATCACCGGAGAAGGAAGATAGGTACTATGCAACAAGGGGATCGAGTTCCTTGATGTTGGATGATAATAACAATAACACAAAGGGTTTGATGGATCAACAAGTTAAGTAAGTTAAGGAAGAAAAAGAGCAAGATTTCATGGCCGTGTAGGGATACAAGCTTCCCCAAAGGCCTAAGAAAAGGGCTAAGTTGATCCAAAGAAGCATTCTCGTGAGTTCAAATCTGCCCTTTAGATTCCATTTTGCGGAGATTTAGATCTTCGTTTTTTGTTTTGCTGATTTATGGGGATTGGTCTTTTGTGGACGTGGCTATCAGATCTCTGCCAAGAGAGGTATCAAGTGAGGGAGAAGAAGACTTCAAAGAAGGTATAAATTGTTTAGTTTTGGCATTTTTGAACAAACCATTTCTGGGTTTTGATTGATAATGGCATTTGATTGCTTTTTGTTACAATGCAGAAACCAAGAGGATTGAAGGCCATGGGAAGTATGGAAACTGATTCTGAAAAAGATTGACTGATAAATTCAATGAAGAATGAATGAAACAAGTTCTGTTGCTTTTTGGGCATGGAGAGAAGAATGACTGATAAACCCAGAAGCACACATTCCATTACTCATGACAGTGATCATTTTACAATTTTCTTTTTAAAATTTATGAATATTTTGTAAAAATTTCAGTGACAACATAACAATTCAGTAACTTCTGGTCTACTTTATCTTTGACTGAAATCATACAAAAGATGAAACATTAAATTATATATATTACGAGGGTCATTGTCCTAACTCAATTTGTTATGATCACAACGTAAATATTTAAATTCATTATATTATTTAAGTTAATCAATATCTCATCTAAATTGTTAATAATTATCTTAATCTTTTTTATAATTATTAAGCCAATGATTAACAATAAGATTGAATATAAAATTAAATAAAAACATTTCTTAAAAAATAGTATTTTTTTATTTGTTAATTGTATAAATGGTCACTTTTTATTTTATTTGTAGCAAATAAAGTTCACTTTAGGCGTGTTATTTATAAGTAGGTTGAAATAACTTTATGTGTGTGTTCCATTAGATTATTTCTGATTAAATTAATTTTTCAGTTATCTAATTTTTCCTCTAAAGTAGTTTTTTTTTTGTAGTTCCCTCTCAAATGTTCACTTTAGGCGACGGTCTAGTGTTGTTTTTTTTAAAAAAAATTAAGTCTAAATAAGTATCATTTCTGTTTCGATTTTTCTTATTTTCATATATTCATGAAGCGTTTGTTTTTGTTTGCTTCTAGGACACAATTTTCTTTATCCTTATGATAGTTTGACAATTTATGTTTCATTTATCACGACTCATATCCTGATCGGAAAAGCCTTTTACGACAACTTCTTGATGTATTCAAAGCTGTCCACAGAGTAATATGTCATATTAATCATCTCAATCTTCATGCCTACATTAATATTACGTCTTAATTTGAATAGACGAGAAAATTATCTAAGGAGGTTCTAGTTTTATTTTCTTCATGTCCTTTGAATTTGAACATTAAGGTATGCTGTCTTTGTTGTATCTTACCTTTTTTATATATATTAAATTGTTTTTTCTTTTTGGATTTTTTGTTCAATTTCTTTCCCTCAAAGAACTTGCAGTAGAGATGGAATCATCTGGTGAGACTGAGAAAGAGGAGTGACATTCATATTCAAGATCCTTAAATCCCCAGAATTCTTCTTGCTCCTCTTCTGGCAATTTCCTTTTCTCTATATGTTTCCCCTTCCACAAGTACCTCCAAAACCTATTATTTTACATAAAAAAATTGTATATCAAATGAATAATTTAGTCAATGTTAACATTTGCTTTACGTGATTCATGGCAACAAAAAAAGAAAATGTATCAGCAATGGCATATGTTAGTATTTCCTTTTCTTTCTTTCTTTTTTTTCGGAGGATCAGGAGATGTGATCGGTCTCGTAGAAGGTTAAACCTAAAATATCGGAGACATCAGATTTAGGTTAGGTGGAACCGAACATCTTTAGAACAGTGCAGCCAAGAATCACCAAATTTAAGTAATCAAATTATCCTTCAAAAATAACTTGGTTTGACCCCTGAAAATTGCATCATCCCATGATAAATATATGTGTGTAAGTAATCAAATTGCAGGTAAAACACTACCTCGGTCATGGTTGGACGCCAGGCCGATGACGCTTGAATGCAAAGCGATGCCTTGAACGTAAGTCGCTTTAGCTGCGAGCTGTCGAAGGAGCCTCGGATCCACCAATTTCTCCATCTCTTCTCGGTTCAACAGAGGTTTTGCCTATGGAGTTCGAAAGGGTAAGCAACTAAGCAAGGGTATGGCAATGTCACGTTTATGGTTATAGAAAAAGACACTGCAATTGCAGCATTACCCAGCAGTGCAAGCTTTGGTGCCAGGCGTTGACCGGTTTCCTCCCAGATATGATCTCTAACAAGAAAACCCCGAATGCGAACACATCTGTTTTCTCATCCACGGTTCCGTGCATGAAGTACTCGGGTGCTAAATGGCTAAACATTATCGATTCCGTATGATTATTCCGGTGTAAAGACTAGATAATTCATTGTTGAACTAGCATACCCGAATGTCCCTTCAATCGGAGCAATGGAATGGTGTGTTCATTCAGAAGGAAGCCATTTCGCCAGTCCGAATCCGATATCTAAAACGTCAATTTCGAAACGAATTAACCACCGAACTCGAAAAATCAAAATACTACACCGGAAAAAGTAGAGCATGGTTCGATAATTTGGTACCTGGGGTTCGAAATCCGCAGTCAATAGAATATTGGATGACTTGATATCGCGGTGAATTATCCTTCTTTGGCACACTTTGTGCAAGTAATGGAGTCCTTTTGCAGTACCAATCGCTATCTTATACCGTGTTTTCCAGTCAATTGGCGGTGAATTCGCATCTGCGTTGAAAAAGCTCGAATGAAACCTAGAAAAGAGAAACAATTCAACCTGGAAACATCGAAATAAACAGATATTACCATGGAGACGAGAAGCAACGGAGCCTAAAGACGAGAACTGGAAGATGAGAAAAAGGCCATTGTCGATGCAACAGCCTAAAAGTCCCAACACATTTGGGTGACAACATGGCCTATTGTGCCGATCTCCGTCAAGAAATCCTTCTCTTTCCTTTCGTCACTGTAAGTTTTCGTTAGCCTCTTCACTGCAATCTCTTCCCCATTGTTGAGCACTCCTCTGTATACCTCTGCATACCCTCCTTTTCCCACCAAATTATCTGCTTTCCACACACACATACATAAATCAAACGGAAGATCAACAAAAAATGAAACCCAAAGAAGCAAGACGAAGACAGACCTGAGCTGAAAGCATTGGTGGCGAAAAATATCTCTTCAAAAGAAAAGCACTTCCACGAAGGTCTTTGAGCAGCTGTAGCAATCAAGATACCATCTTTGTCTTCTTCCTCGAAAACCCCACGGCCGTGATCGACGGCGCCATCTTCGAAACTGCGTCTCTTCGACGAGAACAAGCGTTTCAAGCTATTAGCTCGGATATACTTCATCGGGGGAACTCTCTGTTTCATGCAGGAACCAAGAGAGATTGCGTTGGAAAAAGAAAGAGAATCTCAAAAGCGGTTCAACTATCCACTTTATTTCTGTTTAAAATGATTAAGGAAACATTTATGGAGTTAAAGAAGAAACGGGGAAGTAGGCGGCGTGTATTTATGTTTAATACAATGAAATAAATTTGTTAAAGGTTTAATAATTACTAGTATTTATTTTTTGAGTTTTTCTTATGCTTTTAACGAGGCATCGTTGTGTCTCTTCTGGTATGTATATGTATATTAAATACAAGGATTTGCTTTATTCTCATGTATATATATGATGCTTACTAGACTATCCTATTATTTTTTTATAGAAAAGACTTGGGTTTATTATTTAAAATTTTGTTTAAAAATATCATATTTGAATTGATAATTAAACTAAAAAAAAGGCTTAATATACTATACTTTTCGATGCTTAAACTATATTTCAAATTTACTTTCGGTCTTTAAAGATTTTTCATTAAAAATAGATATCTAATATTTTTTTCATTATATTTTTAGGTGTCTGTCGTTAAAAAAATTATTAAATGATATGTATCGCATTTATATTTTTTATTTTTAAAAAAATAAAATGTTATTAAAAATATTGTTTTAAAAATATCTAAACATGACACGTATTACTTTAACAGTAACTACCTAAAAGTATAACAAGAAAAAATTAGTTATTTTAAATACACCTAATCATAACACATATATATAATTTTATTTAGTAAAAAAAATTATTATATAATATTCTCAATAAAAGAGACCCATTAACTTAAACATAACTTAATATTATTAATGAGATTGATTCAAGTGGTAAACATATTGATATCGTTAAGCAATGTCTCAGGTTTGAGTCTTTGTGTATGCAGAAAATCTCCGCTGGAATACTCAACCACCGAAATTAGGTGTGTGACTCGAGTCGATCCAGATTAGTCAGGGCAAAGCCTTAGAACTAGATGACAACTAAAAAATAACTTAATATTAATTGTAGACATTTTATGTACAAAATTATCATAATTATTTTTCTCGTTTATTTTTATAAGATGATCATTCCAAATCAATTTACTCTATATGTAAATGTCAGGATTTAAATCTTTAACTTTATTTTAAAAAAACTAGTGTCTTATTCCACTAGACCAATCGATTATTAGTTAAGTTATTTGGATATTTTAATTCTTACTTTAAATCAATTATAAGTTTTAGTTATTTTATACTAAAATTATTTGATTTTCCGTATAAAAAATTATATGTTATATATAAACACAATATGAAAAAATAAAAATGTAACGCAATAAATAAAATAAAACAAACAAACTATGAATAAAAGAACATATAAAATTACTCATAAGTTAAATTATATAAATATATAAATAGAAATTTATTAATAATTTTAATGATTAAAAAATATTATTTTTTTAAAAAAGTCTAAATTTAAATAGTTACATCTATAAATATATTTATATCATTGACTACTAATGAAAAATTAGAAGCAAATACTTCTTTGTAATATATATATGCCAATTGCATGGAAAATGCAGCAGTAAAACAAATAGGCAGATGGAAAGTCAGACATCAATTCTTCATTAAAAAATAAAAAATAAATATATGTAATTAAAAAATTTAGTAAATAATTATTTTTAACCAATAACACCACTTAATTCATTATATTCGTACATCATCAATAATTAAATATAAAAAAATCGACTATTTTGAAATTTCAACTATGAAACCCAGCTGCCGACGCATTCAAACATTTGACATATGTGTATGTATGTATATAAAACAGAGGATACTCATTCGTCTCATTTACATTACCAGAATTCCAACACAAAATCTATGGCGGACGCCGCAGATTCCCCTGTTTTACGCGACACTTTCGATCTCAGCAGCCGTATTTTGTTCGCCTTCCTTGTTTCTGTGTCGACCATCGTTTTCCTCGTTATAGCATTTCATCTTTATGTGAGGTTCGTACATAGACGCCGTCAAGCCCGCCGCCGCCATCAAGCGTTTCTCGGACGCATACGTAGCCTGGGCTTAAACACGTCTGGTGAGTCGCCGCTCGATCCCGCGGTCATCAACTCATTGCCCATATTCCAGTTCAAGCAAACCACCGGACTCGGTGAAATTTATCATAATGGTAAGTCAACCGAGTGTTCGGTTTGCTTAACGATGTTGGAAGAGGAAGACATGGCCAGAGTTTTACCAAATTGTAGACATATCTTTCATGCCGAGTGTATAGACAAGTGGTTGTCTTTGCATTCCACCTGTCCTCTATGTCGAGTCGAGGCTGAACCGCGAGTTAAACCCGAGGCTCGTGAAGGTCCATCGACGGTGATGGATGAACATTCATTGGGCACAGAGGGATCAATGTCCAGAGTTGAATTACGTGGGGAAGAACGTAAAAGTCGTCCACAAGATCTAGAAAGACAATGATATCGTAGTAATTATATTTACATAATGTACGAGTATTGTTTTAGAACAAAAATATATAAATTAATTTTTTATTTAAGCCAGTTTATATAAGACTGTATTATTTCAATAAAAGAGTTGTAACTTTTAATAACTAACTAATATGAACTTTTAAAAATAATTTATATAAACGGGGTTGATTCAAGTGGTAAGCAGCTTGATATCGTTTAAGCAATATCTCAGGTTTGAGACCTTGTGTGTACAGACAATCCCTATTAGGAGATTCACCCACCAAAATCAGATGTACGACCCGGGTCAATCCAGATTAATCAAGACGAATCATTAAAACTAGAGGGCAACAAAAAAAAATTAACTAATCGTTTTGCATATGCTTCTTCCAGTCATCTCTAATACTCTAATACATCATGATACTTTTTTTTTTAATTTCAAAGTTGATTGTCACCACTTCCTTAAATCATATTAAATTATATTTATAACGTAAGATTTTTTTTTTTATAATTTTATCATATTTCTAATAATTTTGATCCATTTTATTTAAAGTAAATAAAAATCTTGATTGTATCAGAAAAATCAATAAATAAAAGTCAATAGTCAAATCAACAATCAATTCAAAGGATTGAAAAAGGAATTGTATTTGCGACACTTAGAATCTTAGCAGCCGTATCTTGTTCGTCGCTCTTGTTTCTCTATCAACTGTTGTTGTCGTTGTCGTAACATTTCATCTTTATGGGAAGTGCGGCGGACACAGACGCCACCAAGCCCGCCGCCGACACTAAACGTTTCACGTATGCATGCGTGCAGCGTAATCTAAGTCAAGAGATAAAGTCATAATTAAATATTGAATGTATCTAAAATATTAAAATTTTTTAAAAAATATATAATGATTTATTAGGTATTTAAATTTAAAATTCAAAAGATAATACTTAATTTGTATAATATTTAAACTTATACTGACCTAAAATGTTATTAAACCAAAACATTTGAGAACATGAGATTAACCTTATTTAATTTGGCCCTACTTTGATTAAATATTTAAGAAATCTTTATATTTTTAAATTTAAATGCTTTTTTTATAAATAAAAATATTATTAAAACAAAATCTATCAAATATAATTTTTTTTAAGGGATCCCTTTGGATCCCAACAGAGATCGAGTCTCATGGAGGGCATTTCATAATTCGGAGATGACTATCCAGCTCAGTTGGTAGAACACAAGGTTCTTAACCTTGAGGTCGTGGGATCGAGTCTCACGGAGGATATTTCATAATTCGGAGGTCTTCTACGGAAGTTGCTCTCAACCTGGTGTTGAGAACAACCTACTATCTTACCTCCCCTTACCCCATTACATATGGGAACAAGTGACAACCATTTTTTTTTATTTGAGAACATGAGATTATCCTTATTTGGTTTGACCCAACTTTGATTAAATATTTAAGAAATCTTTATATTTTTTTATGAATAAAAATATTATTAAACCAAAATCTATCAAATATAATTTTTTTAAGGGATCCCTTTGGATCCCAACAGAGCTCGCCTCTGCCGAGGCCTAATCACGTACGGTGACACGCCGCTCGATCCAATTGTTATCAGCTCGTTGCTCAATGCTCATATCCCGATACAGTCAAACTCGAGACTTAATAATTTTTTTTTTTTTTGGTTACAAAAGCAAGTCTAAAACAAAACACAAAACTATATATGTACTGCATCCTCATGCAGCACACTTAACACCTCAACAGGAGGTGTATCAAAAGTGATCCAGCCAAGCTTCCTCGCAGTTGCCAGAGATACGCCAAGCAGTCTGCAACCTTGTTGCCCAGCCTCGATACGTGTTGAATCCGTACTCTCCAATCTCTCCTCAATAATTCCTCAATATGGTGAATAATGGTAATTCTAGCAGCAACCGAGTGACTCCTTTGAGTTGCCGAAATTGCTTCTAAACTATTAGTTTCCAAGATAACCTGATTTGCACCCATATCCTACGCGCACACGAGTCCCAAGTACATCCCCCAAAGTTGGCTCTTGAATACGAAGCACTTGCCAAGGAATTTCGCAAAACCCACCGGCCAGCTGCCCGCATTGTCTCGAATCACACTACCACACGCGACCAGGCCAGAGTAAACTAATTTCTATATATTTTAAATAGTTTTTTTTATTACAAGTTTATTTTTACCTCTTAAAATTCTACGCTATAAGAAACGAAACAGGTAGGGTCTTAGCAGATTAACCAACTGGTATGGTATACTAAAGTGATGCTTTTAAGTAGACTTTGCAGAAGATGATAATAGTAATTTCCGAATAACAATAGTGAATTTCGATGTATATGTAAAAATTTAGTAATGTATTAGTAATAAACCTCAAACTCTGCATAAATTGACTGATCTACAGCGCATTGAAAACGGTCGGAAGTCTTTACGTTTTAAGAGAAGAAAAAAATTAAAGTTTTAAGAGAATAAGGTTATTCACAAAAAGGAGAAATTGGGCTCAAAAAGTTAATTAGATGGTCATGGGCTCTTTGGAAGTTAATTAGATGGTCATGGACTAGATTTCGATAAGATAATAAAAAGGCAAGAGATGAGTTTGTCACGTTCGATTAGTACCGTTGAATACGCTAATGATGAATATCACTGAGCACTATTAATTTAATTTATAAAAATTTTAAATTTTAAAAGACTGAACGTATAGTTATAAATTAATAAAAACATAAAGATAAATTATTTAAAATAAAATATTAATTTTATTATTTTTCATAATATTTTTCAACAATAAAAATTTATAATTTACCTTTAAAAATTTATTTAAAAAATAATAAAAGGATATTATAAAAATAATGTAATTAATATTTTATTTTAAAATTTTTAATTAATGTAAATTATACATGAAATCTTTTAAAATTTTAAATTTTTATAAATTAAATTAATAATTTTCATCTATACTCATCGTAATAGTACTCGGTGATACTCCTCTAACCAGGGACAGAGTCAGAACTAAATATTGACAGGGGCCAAAATATTAAAATATTTAAGAAAAATATAAAGACTTATTAGGTATTTAAACTTAAATTCAGCACGAATCAAGCGACCTTAGTGATTAAGGGATTGTTATTATCCTTGAGGTCTCGAGTTCAAGCACTACGAATGTAAGGGTATGAGCGTTCGTTGTTAAATAGTTAAGAGTATTTGTACAAATAGTATCTTGTATTCACCCATTTATAAAAAAAAATCTCAAAATTCACAAGATAACACATAATTTGTCTAATATTTAAATTTACAATGACCTACATTATTATTAGACTAAAAATTTTGAGAACACGAGATTATTATTCTTTAGTTCGTTCTTTACTTGATTAAATATTAAATAAATTTATATATTTTTTAATTTAAATATTTATTTTTACATAAACTAAAATATTATTAAATTAAAATTATATTGAATATATAAATTGTGTTATTACTTTCAGAAGCTGTCTCTCTCGCCGTCAGTTCCTCAAATGTCAATTTCCACAAACAAAATTTTCAACAACTTTTCTTGGCTCATCGTCCGTCTTATGCCCACCTAAAATCATGCCAACATCACCTCCAATTATTAAATGACCATATTCTCATATGTAATGGGGTAAGGGTAAAATAGTATAGTAAACTGACCCCTAACACTAGGTTGAGAGCAACTTTCGTGGAAGACCTCCGGCAATTATGAATTGCCCGTGTGACTCGATCTCACGACCACAAGATTAAGAGCCTTGCGCTCTACCAACTAAACTGGACGGACAATTGAGATCTCTATTTGATTAAAATCGGCTTAAATTTTTAAAAATATTCAAACGATGTTTTTTTTCATCTAAGTATTTAAAATATTTTTTATCAAACTAAATCTTTAAATTTATATGTAATCATCTTAAGTACTTAATTTATTTTATTAAAATAAGTCCTTAAATTATGACTCTTTTTTACTTGAAGTTCTTAAATTATTTTTTAATCAAAACAAATATTTAAATTTGTGTGACATGTTAACATCTTATTAATCAATATATTTTTTTTAACTGAAAAAATGAAAAATTATTAAATATAACAGTTTAAGGATTTAATTTGATTAAAAATAGTTTAGGTACTTAAAACAAAAAATATATATAATTTAAGTACTTATTTTTAAGTTAAGCCATTAAAAGAAACCATAATGTGCTTAGTTAATGAGAAAAATTAAAGGATTCCAATGCATTACTTTAAAATATGTTACAGTTTTCTAAAAATTAAAAAATATGTTTGATCAATATAAATGAAAACTTGTATCCATAAATAAAATAGTAAAATTTTATTTGGTATCTAATTTTTTAAAATAGAAATAAATAAATAATTATTAAAAATTAACTATAATTATTAAAAAAATCATTACAGTAATTTAACATGTGAGTTATGAAAATTTAAAATAATTAAGTTGATAAAAAATTTCATAACACAAAATTTATTTTAGTTTACGATAAGAATTAATGTTATTGTTTATTTGACGTCAATTAAATTATTAAAAAAAATACACAAAATATTGTTATAAACAATAGCACACAAAAGTGTCATTAAAATAAAAATATGTTTAATTGTAATTGAGGCCTTAAAACTTTTGGGGAAAAATAATCAGTGTAGACTTTGAATGTTTTTTGCACTAAAAAATTAATCTAACCATTTAACAAACGAAATCAAGCGTTGGTTGTCAAGATACTTATATAATAGTTCACAAACTTACATCACAATCTAAAATATTGACATAACAATTTACGATACTATTGTGGTAGTACACGATGGACGATGTTGTTGTATATGGGCTTAATTGATTTTTTGGCTAAGTTTGATGGCATAATTGATTTTTAAGAAAGTTTGAGGACTATTTGTAAAATAAATTAAAAGGTTATTTAAACTAAAAAATATAAAATATAAACAATTTTTAAGATATTCACTACATTAAATATAAAAATACTAAAATGTTAATTTATTAAAAAAAATCAATTTAAGGAATCTC